ACTGGGCCTCGGCAGGAGACCCCTGAGGTCAGGGTGTGGTGAGGCCCAGCGGCCTGTGCTAGGCTCCTGGCTGTGGCTGGACCCTCAGCAGCACCATTTGTGTGCGGTGTGGGTGGGAGGCAGAGGGATGCTGCCATTTGACCCCCGGGACTCATTTTCTCATGTCTGGAAGAGCTGGCCCTGTGGCGGGCCCCCCTGTTCACGTGGCCTGGGCTGCTGAGCAGCCGTCCCGAGCAAGAGCATCAGTGGAAGAGCCTGGGAAGGCTGATCTCAGCCTCCTGAGCAGCTAGGGTGACAGGCGTGAGCCATCATCCATTTCCAGAAGTTATTTCTCTTTTCCTTTGAGTGACAGCCCCAGAACCCCAGGCCTGGGTGGAGAAGCATTACAGTGAATGCTACACCAGCCTCCCAACTCCAGCCCTGGTGGGATCCGTGGTGGGGGCCCGCCCGAGAGGCCAGTCCCACCTGTCTCCCCCGAGTGTGGCTCCGTGTGCCCTGAGCTGTAGCTGTGTCTCAGCCGCAGCAGTGCTCAGGGCTGCCTGCCCCAGCAATTGGAAGTTGTTTTCTTGGCCTCTGGCTAGGGAGAAGTTGACATTCCGCTTTTTCCCAGGGGCCTGTTTCCCATGTGTGTGCTCCAGATGGTGTGCTCCAGAGAGATCCTTGTGTTCTGGGAATGGCTCACGGCATAAATCAGGTCCCCCTGTGGAGCGTGGGTGGGGGGGCTCAGAAGTCAGCCGGCAGGGACTTGGCATTGAGCACTGACCCCCGGGCTCTGTGGAGGCTCAGGGCATCCGGGATGTAACCCACACGGCCTTTCCGGGGTGGTGGGGTGTGTTCTCACGTCCTCTTCCCAAGCGTTGGGCCAGTGTTCCCAGGATTGCACGGATGTGAGAGGGGAGGAGCCCCGGGGGGGCTGAGCGGGCCGAGCCCAGGGCTTCAGGGGAGCGGCCGCTGGGGGTGGGAGGCGGGGGTCTGAAAGGCCGGCGGCCGCAGGGAACGGAGGCATTCGGAGTCGGTTCCAGGAGTTGAAATACTCAATGCCAAATAGAGAGTCTGAGAAGGAAAAAAAAATTACACACGGCAGATTGAGGACAGCAAAAGTCGAGTCCAGCCCTATGTGGTGAGATCAGTTCCCTCTGCACCCAGTCTCTCTCACCAGGTGAACAGAGAGAGAGATGCTTTCGCCCGTCACCCAGGGGGCGACCCCGGGGGCTGCCCGCAAGTGGACACTGTCCGCGAGGATCCCAGAGCACCCCGAGGTCCGGGAGGTCCAGGAGGGGTGTGTGCTCCCTCGGTGGCTGTGCATGTGAGCACACGTGTGCACGTGTGTGGAATGAGTGTGAGCGCTGGGGGTGGGGTGGGGACTCGTCTGGCAGATCCCCGGGAGTCGTGTGCTGCCGGAATCTTCCATTGTCTGGGGCAGCGACCTTTCGAGAGTCAGGCGCTCCTTTGTTTCCGTCTGTGTGGAGTGGAGATACTCACCTTGCCTGGGACGGCCGCAGGGCTGCGTTGCAGGCGCTTTGGTTCACTTGGATCCGTGTTTGCATCTTTTTTTTTTCCCCTCCTGGGTCTCAGTCAGTCAGAGAGGCCGAAGTCGCAGCCTTCCAGAATTCTTGGGCCCTTCCCTTGTGTCAGGAGAGCCGGGTGGATGGCGCGGTGCAGCAGGACCGTGGGGAGAATCTCACCAAGGGCTTGGCATTCTGTTGAAACGCTCTACCCCTGCAGTGCCCCAGCTGCCTGGAGCCACTGGGGCAGGGAGGAGGGGGAGGGGGAGGGGGAGGAGGGGAAGAGGAGGAAGGGAAAGAGGAGGGAGAGGGGGAGGGGGAGGGGGAGAGGGGAAAGAGGAGGAGGGGGAAGAGGAGGAGGGGGAGGAGGAGGGGGAAGAGGAGGAGGGGGAGGAGGAGGGGGAAGAGGAGGAGGGGAAGAGGAGGAGGGGAAAGAGGAGGGGGAGGGGGAGGGGGAGAGGGGAGGGGGAGGGGGAGCAGGGGGAGAGGTCCACACTGCGATGTGGGACGCAGCGTCATATTGGGGATAGGGCATGTATGGGGTAACAAAGACAATTTCCCAGGCCCAGGGGCCAGGGCTCAGGCTCTGATGCCACCGGGGCCGGATGGTGATGGCGCAGCCAGGAGGCTGGTGACCAGCTGAGACCAGGGAAGGCCTGATGCGCTCACGCGGGCCCCGAGCCGGAGCGGGGAGCTGGCGGCCTCTGTGCTGCGTCCACCGCCGACCTTGCGTGTGCCTGGCAGGCGTGGCTCAGCGCCTTGCCGAGCTTTCCCCGATTGCTGAGGGGGAGGCTTAGAATCCTTTCCGTACACAGTGAGGACAATCAGTTGGCCTCGGGGTTGGAGTTTTCCACCTCTCGGTTCCGGAGATGACCTAGGCCGGCGGGAAGGACAGCCCAGCCAGGCGTGGGCCCAAGCACTCAGTCAGGTCTTTGTGGTGGTGGCGGGGGACACAGGTCAGGAGAGGCACCCAAGTGATCCGCACAGTGAGTGGAGAAGCCAGAGGCCCAGCAGGCCCTGTGGGTCAGTGCCTGCGGCTGCTGTGAGCCCGTCCCTCTGGCTGGCGGCTTCGGGCACGGCTGGGGGCGGGGATTCTTTCTGAGGGGCGACGCTCTTGGGTGAGAATAGTCGACTGTTTCTGCAGGCCATGTGTGCTCAAGAGCAGCGTGAGCAGGGACGATTCGTTCTAAGAAGCAGGTCAGGCAAGGTGCCAGCAGGTCAGGCCTGTAACCCTAACTTCTCAGGAGGCTGAGATCTGAGAGATTGTGGTTCTAAGCCAGCCTAGGCAGACAAAGCCAAGGGACTCTTATCGCTGCTCAGCAAAGAGTAGAAGTAGAGGCATGATTCAAGTGGTGGAGAGCCAGCCTTGAATTAAATACACACACACATACACACACTCACACACACCAAAATTCCAACCAAGAGTGAGAGGCCCTGAGTTCAAACTCTAGTACAGGTGCGCGCACACACACACACACACACGCACACACACGCACACACACGCACACACACGCACACACACGCGCGCGTGTGCGTGCACACACAGCTGGTCAGACGGCAAAGTTATGGAAGTTATCTTGGAGCTCAGATAAAGAGGAGCCGCTCAAGGTAAGGGTTGGGAGGAGGTGGGAGTCGCTGGCGAGTGGCTGGCTCTGGGCTCGGGGCTTCTCCAGGGCTGTCCTCACGGCTCCCGCGCCTTTAAACAGCAGCTCTCGCTCCCTCTCTCCGGCCCTGCCCAGCTCTCCTCCCGTAGTGTTCCTCCCCCCATACCCTCAGCTCTGCCCTGCCCGCGTGATGCCATGTGCTGCAGAGCTAATCGCCCCAAATTGAGTGACCCCCCCCATCACAAGCACCGGCCCGTCTCAGGAATTCAGGGAGCCCCCGCTCGGCACGGCTGTGGCCTGAGGTCTCCGCTGGTGCTGGGCCAGCCGGGAGCAGGGCTCCTCCACGCGGGCTTTCCTTTCTCTCGGCGGGCTGGGCACCCTGAGGGTTGGGTGGACATCGTGGCCTTCCCACCTGGCCCTGGAAGCCACCCGCTGTCACTCCTGCTGCGTTTTGTTAGCCAGCCCACTTTTGGGGACAAGGGGACCCAGATCTTCTTTCTCTGTGAGACGGATGTCAGATGTGGGAAGAGTTGCCTGCATGATTTAAAGTCACCAGAGCTTCCTGAGTGTGTCCATCAGCGTTCCGTCACTCGGGCAGATATGCCTGAGATAATCAGCATGTAAACAGAGATTTATGTGGCCTCAAAGTAGTTGCTGTGTGTGTGTGTGTGTGTGTGTGTGGCTGTGATTGATTGTACCCAAGGCAACTCGACACATCCTGGCAGGTGTACGTGGTAGAACAAATTTGCTCTCCTCTTGACTGGGAAGCACACAAAGCAGAGTAACAAATTGAGGCTGCAGTCCAGCTCAAGGTCACACCCAGGGACCTTACGACCTGTCCTTAGGCTCCCACCACAAAGATACCCTCACCTCCCAATTGTGGCGTCTCCCTGGGGGCTGGGGACAGAGTCTTGGACATATAGGCCTTGGGGAGGTGGGGAATAAGATCTAGATTAGAGCTCTGTTGATCAGCCTTTGTCCATCCATCCATTTTATTATTATTTATTTATTTCTTTGTCCGTCCTGGGTCTTGAACTCTGGGCCTGGGCGCTGTCTCTCAGCTCTTCAGCTCAAGGTGAGTGCTCTACCACTTGAGCCACAGTGCCACTTCCGGTTTTCTGGTGGTTCATTGGCAATCAGAGTCTCATACTGTTAGGCAGGTGCTCCACCACCGAGTCATGCCTCCAGCTCTTTGTGGCGATGATTGTTCCTGAGTTAGAGTCTCGCTCTCTTCTTGGGCTTCCTGCACTTGGATGTCTGTCAGTCAGTCTGCCTTGGTTGAGCTTCTGTCTCAGCCGGGATCGGAGGCACCTGCCATGGTTGAGCTTCTGTCTCAGCCGGGATCGGAGGCACCTGCCACCATTTCCAGGTTCTTCTGTGGAGACGGAGTCTCGTGGACCTCTCTGCTCAGTCTGGCCTGGAACGTGTCCCATTTCAACCTCTCAGGTAGCTAGGGCGACAGGTGCGCACCACCGCAGTGCTCAGTTATGCGCGGAGAAGGGGTCTTGCAAACCTTTCGGTCCAGACTGACCTGGGACCATGATCCTGCTGTTCTCCCAGTAGCCAGGATTACAGGCGTGAGGCACTGGTGCCTATGGATCAATGTGCATTTCATGCATAGATATTGCATTGCCTCTCATCATGTTCTGAACCCCCCCCATGCTGTCACCCAAACACCTCCCTCTTGTCCCTGGTCACCACAGGAGCGGAGCCTAGAACACATTCCCCGGCTCAGTTTCTTAACACCTCACCGGCGTCCTGCCCGTCAGCTCCCAACGTCCTGTGACACCTTGAAATGCAATGAGACAAAGCTGTAGCTGAAATCCAGAGTGCCTCCGGTTGCTCCCCTTGCATCCCAGTGATTGTCCCCTCTCCTTTCTGCTCAGGTTCCAACTATGGGAGCCCACGCCCAGCTCATGCCAACATGAACGCCAACGCAGCCGCGGGACTGGCCCCCGAGCACATCCCCACCCCGGGGGCAGCCCTGTCCTGGCAGGCAGCCATCGACGCGGCCCGGCAGGCCAAGCTGATGGGCAGCGCCGGCAACGCCACCATCTCCACGGTCAGCTCCACACAGCGCAAGCGGCAGCAGTACGGGAAGCCCAAGAAGCAGGGCGGTACGACCGCCACGCGGCCCCCCCAGGCCCTGCTCTGCCTCACCCTGAAGAACCCCATCCGGAGGGCGTGCATCAGCATCGTGGAGTGGAAATATCCTTTGTGCTTTGGGATGCGGCCTGACCGGCCGGGCGTCCCTCAGCCCGTCCTCCCAGGCTCCCTAGGCTGTGGGCTATGTTGGTCTCACCCTTAACCCAAGAGAGGCCCTGTGACACCGCCCAGTTATGTTCCAGGCCCTGCCCTAGGCTTGACTCGAAGCATTCTAATCCCTGCAGACAGGGCCCAGGAATCATGGGCATAACAAGCTGTTGGGCTGCCCCTCTCCTTCATCGCCAGTCCCCAAATCTGAATTATTCTGAAATATATCATTGGGGGGGGCACGTTGGTTATGGGGCTTGAACTCAGGGCCTGGGCACTGTCCCTGAGCCCCTTTGCTCAAGGCTAGCCCTCTACTACTTTGAGCCACAGCTCCACTTCCAATTTTTAGATGGTTCATTGGAGATAAGAGTCTCACAGACTTAACTGCCCCAGGCTGGCTTTGAACTGTGACTCTCAGATTTCAGCCTCCCGAGTAGCTAGGATCACAAGAGTGAGCCACCAGCAGCCGGCTGAAAATCTACCACTTCTTGAGTGCTCACATACCACTACAATATCATTTTCCAGATGTGAAAAATCTCACACCGGACCTTACAGGACAGGTTGCCATCAAAAAGCAAGTCACTGGTTAGGGTTTGGGTCGATCTGACCGGAAAGGGCATTGTCCCAGGACCCTGATCTCTAGAGGGTAGATCTACACTTCAACAGGGTGTTGTACATAGAACCCAGCCCTCCAGGAGCGATGGCTACTTCTTTCTAAACTCACAGAACACAGAGCACACCCTGCCTTGCCTGCAGGGACCCTGGCTCCGCCAGGCTAAACTCTCCACGTCACTTTCAGAGATTAAAAATCATAAAAGCCCGCTCCTCTCCCATGCTCATCACTGGGGTCTCCCGGCGGCCAGAGCCCTGCCCAGGGCAGGGGCTGCTCTGGACAAGCCTCCACCCCACGCCTCCGAGGGGGAGAAATGAAGGCAATTGCAATCTACATAAACACAAGAAGGGACAAAGTTTGGAGAAATCTGTGTTTATTCTGGCACGCGACTGGCCCGAACTGCCCTTGACATATTAGGGAAGATGCTGGCGGGAACCCTGGGAGAAGTTCTCCGTGAAGGCATGTGTTTCTTCCCAGAACACAAGGGACTTGGAATGTATTGTTTAAACACAATCCTTATGAACCTTTGGTTCATTTAAAGTATATATATGAATCTTTTATTCACTGGAAAATGTATGTGTCTCATTTCCTTAACTCCCTTCCTCAGACCCTTTGAAATCATTATTTTACTGACTATTTTTGCCAACTGTGTGGCCTTAGCCATCTACATTCCCTTCCCAGAGGACGACTCTAATGCCACCAACTCCAACCTGGTAAGTCCCCAAGGCTGTGCGTTTTCTGCTACTTGAGGCACGGCTGAGCTCGGCCACGCGGGGAGCAGTTGGAATGTGGGAGAGGTGTGTGGTGGACCGGCGTCTTCAGGGCCGTTGTTGAGATCGGTGCTGACCTCCCGCAGCCTGCTGTCAGGAGGAATCTTTTAAGTTAGGTGGTGGTGCGCTGTGTGTGTGCGCGTGCACAGGACCGTGGCAAGCGCGGGTGTTGGTGGGTGCGTGTTTATCCTTGGCTTGTCCACCACGTGTGATTTGAGTTGTGATCTGTTGGTTCGGGTCTGCCCGGGTGGTTCCCGCACGATGGTATGATGAATACTTTCCTAGGGAGCTTTCAGGAAGGTTTCCTTTTGCAGCCAGGATGTGTTCTTGGGTGGACAGGGCTTTGTTTTCTTGGGTGAGGCGGCAGTCTGCTCGAGATGCCGGCCAGCCCTGGCAGCGTAGGGCTCGGATTTGCCCGTGGGAAAAGCGGACGGCGGCGTTGTTTGCTCTTGGCTGCGTGCGAAGTCGCAGCGGACATGGACAGAGGCCTTTGCTCTGTCTGGGCATGTCAGAAACAAGAAGGGCTTTGGAATGCAGTTGGCAAGATGGGAGCAGTCCCCCACGCTCTCCCCCTCCCCCGTGGAGACCTGTGACTGTGTGGCTCCTACGAAGCTACCATCTTGCCCCCGCCCTCCGATTGGCGAGGTCTGATGCCCGGAGCTACGGGAGGGCAGGTGCAGTCTCCCGTCTCCGTGGCTGGCTGATTCTGACGTTCATCCTGAACCTAAGGCAAATGGCTCACAAGCACGGGCATTTCCAAAAAAAAGTCTGATGTACCCGGCTAATGTGCAAAAGACCTGAAAAGCTAAGAGTTGGAATGCTGAGGTTATAGTGGATGTTTGTCCTGGTCCAAAGAGCACTGCTGCGTGCTGGATGAGGGGAGGGGACTGCGGGCTCTGAGTGGAGGAGCGAGGAAGGGGGCAGGGAGGACTGGTGTGGGCCTTTATCTTCTTCAGGGATTGTAAGAAGAGACAGTGGGGCTGAGGAGCTTGCGTGAGACAAACCAGAAGCCTGGAATGGCCCATCAGGTGCCGGTGGCTCACGCTTGTTCTGGCTACTCAGGAGGCTGAGATCAGAAAACCATGGTTCAAGGCCAGCCCAGGCAGGAAGGTGGGGTGAGATTCTCGTCTCCAGTTAACCACCAAAAAGCCAGAGGTGGAAGGATGGCTTAAGTGGTAGAGCACCGGCCTTGAGTGAGAGAGCTAAGGGACGGTGCTCCGGTCCTGAGTTCAAGGCCCAGGATGAGCAGCGGGTTCTTCTAGAGTCAGGCTTACCCAAGAGCGTGAACCTGATTTGGGGTTCGCAACAGGCGGGGTCTATTGGTGTCCCCGAGCACGTTGTCCCAACGCACACCTGCCAGCGGCGTTCTGTTACAAAATAGGTGAAGGGCAAGATGTCCCCAGCACTGAGGGCGGGGCGACGGCAGGGCCTCTGGGGCCCGGTGAGGTCCGCACCTCAGAAGAGAGACCTGGCCTGGGATGTCCCAAAAGTGGGGTGCATGGGGGTGCGGCCAGGAGACGTGAGCTCACATGCTCCCCTCCGCCTGTGTCTCCTTGGCACTGGGAGGAAAATACTGGCTCGGTCAAAATTATTACCTTTATTGCTCTCCACCCGAGGCTGGTGCTTTGTATAAACTGCCCCAGCTCCCCCAACAATCGCTATGCTCCCAAGATCCTCGTCTCCTTAGGGCGAAGGTTGCTTGGTTTGTGCCTGGCTGTATCCACACATCCCTGACCCCTTATGGAAACCAGTCCGTCCCTTCGTAAATATTTGCCCAGCGGATGGGTAGAGCGGCGTTGTCCTTTCGTTTCCAATCAGGAAATAAAATCTCGGGGAATCACAGCTCGGCTGGGGGGTGGGGGTGGATGGAGAGTCTTGGCTCCACGCGGAGGAGGCTGACATGAAAATGTTTCAAAGACGAGGCACTCCGTAGCAGTATCAACAGGTATTTTGAGAGGGGGAAAAATAAACAACTCAACCGAACCCAACCAGATGTCAACAAACTTGTTTCTGTTGGAAAACAAATTCGGTAATTCTGCCTTAACCAAAAGTTAAACAAATTACCGCGAGACATCTCCAAGCCTCCTTTAAAAAAAAGAAAGAAATATATATTGTGGTGTGGGGCGTGCTGAGCAAACGCTTCTTCCCTGGCCCACAGCCTGTCTCCTGCTCCGGGAGCAGGCACAATTGCTCCCGTACTAGTTGTGGATCTAAGTGCATTCTAGATCCCGGTGGTGCTGGGCGGGGCAGAGGTTTTGTCCCATTTTGTTGATGAGGATCCTGAGGCTCAGACAACGTAATTACTGCTTACGGAAGAGGCATCGAGAGCGTGTGCGCTGTTGTTGGTGGAGGTCCTGGCGTTTGACCTCAGGGCCTTGTCCTTGGTAGGCAGGTGCTTTACCGCTTGAACCATGCTGCCTGGCCCCTGTTGGTTGTTTTTGAGATAAGAGTCTTGCTTTACACCCTGACTGGTACGGACTGAAATCCTCCTATTTGTCCTGGGGCGACAGGACCACAGCACCCCGTGCCCCGCCCCTTGGTTAGGATGGAGTCTCTGATAAACAGTTTAGCCTGGGCTGACCTTGAACTGGGCTCCCCTCGGTCTCTGCTTCCCAGCAGCTCGGATTACAGGCTTGAGCCAAGCACCACTGTTCTGAACTCCCAGACCACCCTGTGGGGTAAGTGTTCTCTGACTCTGGACCCGTGGAGGCGGTAACTTTCCCAGCCCCGACTTACCCGCGGGGTCCTCAGAATGCCCCTTGCTAGTGCCCCTCTGCAGAGACGCTCAGGCCTGAAACCAGAGGAGAGACTTGCCCTGAGAGCAGCCAGAGGGGGCGCCGGCCGGGTGTGTGGCCAGCGGGGGGCAGGGGGCACAGATTGTCCCGGTCAGCTGCGTGCTGGCTCAGTCCCCTCAGCTCCTGTGATCTGCGCCTCAAGGAACGGTCATAAACCCTCGGGGTGCCTGGGCGATCGCTCGACTCCGTGGTTACAGCAAACATTTCGGAGGAGGCGGAGGCTCTGTCGGCTCCACTTGGCGCTCACCACATGGCTACTGTGCTACTTTTTGTTTTTGGAGATAAGAGTATCTTGGGAACTTTTCTGCCCAGGTTGGTCTCAAACTGTGATCCTCAGACCTCAGCCTCCTGAGTAGCTACAATTACAAGGCGTGAAGCCACCAGTGCCCGGATCTTTTTATTAATTAATTTGTTTATTTTTGTGCCAGTACTGGGACTTGAACTCTTGCCTAGCTTTTTTGCTCAAGGTTTCTTATGTCACAGGCGTCAGCCATAGTGTAAAAGAGTGACATGCCAACTAGCTCCTGGGGCGTCAGGTTTGGCAGACCGTGTTGGAGATGAGGGGCAGCGCCTTGGCCTGGACAGCCCAGGCCAGGTACTGGACAGGGTGATGTGGGCCTGGACCTCATGTCATGTACTTCTTCTGCTAGCCACTGTTTTCCTGGACTTTAGGTCTCAGGTGTCCAGCACGCATGCTGATTCAGTGAGCTACGGCAAGTGTGTGAGTGTGTGAGTGTGAGTGTGTGAGTGTGAGTGTGTGAGTATGAGTGTGTGAGTGTGTGTGAGTGTGTGTGTGTGTGTGTTCTCTCTAGAAAGTGTCACATAGGTGTGGGGGTGTCATCTCAATAGCTGTGGTTATCGCTGGGATTAAAACCAGACAGATATTTTGTGTCTGTAATATTTACTCTCTGGTGTTTTTGTTTTCCTTCTGGAACTTTCCTCCACAAACCCTTTCCTCTCAGCCTCAAGATAACTTGCAAGATGCAGAAGAATGAAAAGCAGCCTAGATCCAAGTTCAGCGGTTGACCTTTCCGGGATGGGTGGCAAGCTGTGTGGCCGTCACCTGGCTGCTGCCGGGAGCCGGGCTGGGCAGCGGGGGGCCGGGGCGGGGGGAGCCGGGCTGGGCAATGGGGGGGGCGGGGGGGAGGAGCCGGGCTGGGCAATGGGGGGGTGGGGGGGGAGCCGGGCTGGGCAGTGGGGGTGCGGGGGGGAGCCGGGTTGGGCAGCGGGGGGGTGGGGGGGGGGAGCCGGGCTGGGCAGCAGGGGGCCAGGGGGGGTGCAAGCCGGGGTTGCCAGCTCCTGACTGGGCACAGCCCCCGCGCTCACACAGGCAGCGGGAGAGCTCTGTCAGTGACTGCTTTAGTGCCATCCTCCGGCACGCAGCAGATAGGATCATCTGGGCCTTTTCTCTGTGCTCTTGGGCCTCTGTCAGGAACGGGGCCCTGGGAAGAGGCCAGCTCTTGGGTTATCTTGAGTCTCACCAAGCACATGGAGCCGACGGAAGGTTGCATGTGTCTCAGAGGGGACTTCAGTGCTTGACATCGTTTTTCTGAGATGTAGAATGTGCTCCATAAGCATTCTGGAAGACGGGAAGGAATTGTCTAGGCCCGTGACCAGTGAAGTCTAGGAGCTGCAGCCCCAGCCAGGAGTGATAGTTCTGCCGTCAGAGCACGGTGCTGGGAGCTCAGTCTCAGGTGGTTCTGGGGAGGTTTGCGTCCTTTGGTTCAACAGGTATTTGTGGAGCCGCTACTAGGTCAAAGGCACCGTGGTCCCCGCCACCAGCACCCTCCTCCCCTTCTATCTAAGGGAGGTAGATACCAACATCTAGGCTTAAAAATCTTCCTGGTAAGGGACAGCAGGCATCAGGTAGCACTGAGGAGCTCATTATCTACCTGAAGAGAGGGTCTCGCTTTAGGTCTCAGGACCCTCCGGCTCCAGCCTTCTGCGTGCTGGGATTGCGGGCATGTGCCACCCTGCCCAGCTTTAACAAATAGTCTCATTGTTGTAACCATTCTATCCTTTTAGGATCAGGAGAATGTGCTCCTTGAATAATGTAAGACTCATTCGGCCTTTTAGAGCTAACGTAATAAAGCATTTATTTATTCTGTTGAACAGTGTCAAACATTTGTAATGGTATAAATCAAAACA